ATCGCCGAGGCTGATATTGCAGGCGCCGCTGTCGCCGCCACCGCCGCTGACGTCGTCGTAGCCGCCGAAGCAAATGATAATCAATTACAGAGCTGTTATACGTTAAGGGGTCAGTGACAACTCGAATTTTAAACCATAGGTAATCAAGGCTAGAGTGCGTACCACCTCGGCGTACGGGGACCTTGCCGAGCGCGACGTGCTCCTCGTGAAATAAGACTCTGCCTATTATATCTGTTGCAATCACCTTGACGCGCGTGCGCTTTGTTATGCCAGGGATCGTTGTTTTCTTTTTCTTAGACCTAACTGGCCGCTTCGCATGATTTTCACGTAGGGCTTTACGATTTGCTTTCTTTTTCACAAAATGGACATTGCATTGCGCCATTTCCATGACTCCTTTTGTATAATTGCTCCAAATTATTGGCTTTACGACCTGGCGCAATTTAATTAAGTGCGTCGTCCTGCTAGAGAGGAGCGACAATGTCGTTGCCAATGTCGCGTCGATTGCAGCTTCGAGCAACATACCAAGCAATATTAACCTCGAATATAAATTACAAATTTAGGTTTGGACACTTAGCCTTAAACCTGTGCAATTTTCTCGCATTAAAAGTCGAAATTCGAGAGTGGAATTAATAGACTTTGGCAATACATAATGTGTACAAGGAGATCGCGAAGAGTCATTCTAAACGCTAACGAAAGCCACTGACATTGGGAAGGTAAAGCGCGAGTGTATAAAATCACGTGAAAAAATGCTGCGCGATCGCATAAACGTAACGACTAAAGGAAAATCCTTCCATTACTCGTTGTATTATGTGCATAATGTAAATACGTGCAATACTTCGTTTTTACCGATTACATTAAAATATTTCCATGAATGCAACAGTAACTTGGCTCTGCATTAATTTGGAAACGCTTGCATTTTGCCGTTACTTTGTTCAGCTGCTGCCACAAGTATTATCATTCCTGGCGTGTCTGCGTTTTTTTTTCTCTCCTCCTCCTGCTCCTCCTCCTCCTCCTCCTCCTCCTGCTCCCCCGCCTCTTCACGCATATCATATGTATGTATAATATTTTAGTAAATAATGCTAGATGAGAGGATACGTGAGAAGAGATAACAATGACTGGCTTTTTCATGGGCGACTATTGAGGGATTGCACAGGCGAGAAAAATAACCCTTTGGAGAAGTTTTAACACTTGAGCTCCTGCGGGTGCGTCTTGAGCTCGGACTTGAGTACTGCGCGCGCTATGCAAATGGCTTAAAAAGGATATTTAAAACGATGTGTTTAAGAAGTTTAATGAGTAGGCCGACGATATACGCGCATTAAAGGTGTATGAAATGCGAGGTGAAAGATGGCTTCGGACATTTTCATTTCCTCGCTGGCGCGATCCAAAGAGTGGCCCCGACAATACTTACGATACTTTAAGACGGATTTATTAAAAACCGAAGTAAATATTATAAATTACGAGAGGACGTTGAAGCAATTATCGAACCCCATTACACGAAATTCGTATTCTCCTATTACGCACATTTGTAAATTGCAATAAATTATAATAAATTAAAATAAATGGTTTTTAAAAGGCTTGACTGCCTGGCAGGTAGTTATCCTTATTTTCGACTCTGTAATATTTGATATCGTATTTGAGGAAAATAAGATATTTCTAATCCGTTAATACTCAATGTTGTATTTATTTATATTCTCAGTATTCGTCGTAAATGTTCATGCCATTACTGATAAGATTTATCATTTATTTCTTTCTCTTTTTCCCCTCCGTTAATCTCTTTGGCCTTCTTTTTCCTTTTGTTTTTCTTTGCTTTTGTTTGGTTTGGTTTGGTTTGGTTTGGTTCGGTTTTTTATATCTATTCGTAATGACTCGTGACGATTCGATGACACAAACGGAAAGTTTATCACAATCATTGAGGATTAGAAATTTTGGACATTAATGCTTGACTTAAGATGAAAGCCACGCCATTGAGAAATTTTATCCCATGCCATCATTTTAACTTAGCAGGAATTTAACGCTTGTCAGCATACAAAAGCACAAACATAATCTGTGGATGAGATAAGTCGTCCTCGCAGCGGCATTGTGACTAAGATCATTGCCAAAATGGAATGGAGTTACTAGAGTCTAGACATTTTTCACGTCCAAACTTTACTCTTTAGCATTTTTTCTTTTCTTCTATATTCACCTCCAGACCGCGTATTATTCATGTTTTCCATTAGCTTTATTTATTTTTTTCTCTCTTTCTTTCTTCATCCTTACGTTTGTTAGTTTGTCTTCAGCTCATTTTGACTTTTGATCCCTTGTTCTTTTAATTTTTTTTTTATTTTTATATTTTTTATTCTGCCGCTCTCGAGCCGAAGCTAATGCGAAAGTTCACGATATACACTGAAATATTTAATAAGAATATTTTAAGCCGCTAATTTTCATTTCCCTCGCATTTGCTATGTAATTTACATGTACATCGATATTTAATGAATGTTGATGTCGCCGGTATTATATATAATTTATATTACAGTTTTCATATTGAATAAAATTACTACCAATAAAGTGACTGTGCTGTTTAATATGCCTGAATTAATTTTATCTAGTTCTTAATTAATATTAAAAACAATTTTAATTTATTTTTACGATCTTTTATGGGATCTCCAAGCAAATATAATTATAGTCGATATTCCTGAGAAACAAATATTAATTTACAAATTACACTAATATCGAAACTGGTTATGTGCATGATGAATTAATATACGAATGATAATAGTAATAGTAACGATAATAATGATAATGATAATAATAATAATAATAATAATAATAATAATAATAATAATAATAATAATAATAATAATAATGATAATAATAATAATAATAATGATAATAATTATAATAATATGATAGTGTAGAAAGGCTCTAAATCATTTGAAATTTTTTGCCTTTGAAACCCGTATTATAGGAATTAAAATTTCAGTAAATCCACAAATCAATGGAAATTAATTACATTTACAGGGAAACAATAAAACAAGAAAAACATTATTTGATCAGAAAATAAAATTACCGAGTGAGAGACGGTAAGCTCGTTTCTCTCACTTTCTCTTGTCTGTTATCTCCCTCCCCTTTCGCCTCGACATCCCAAATATTACTTTTGTGTCTTACACCTGCACCGACGCCAACTTCGCTAGACCCCATGGGGCGAGTATCTGGTAACTCGAGGGCATCTCCACAATCTCCTTCGGGTATTTTGTCGCATTACCCCAAAGTGTGCAAGGGATTAAAACGCAGACGACTACAACAAGATAACCAGTCTATTTCCGAATCTTTATTTCTCTTACAGTGACCGCGATTTTATCTTAATGTAAACCTTGATTTTCACTGCTTCGAGGCCATTAATATTATTTAATGGCCGCCCGACATATTCACGAGCATTTAGCGCTTGCGATTTTTTTGTTCTTTTTTTTTTTTTTAATAATTGTCAATGATTTCCCAGTCGATTGATTAAATTAAACAAGGAGGTAGGTATCGTTCCATTTGCCGTTTGTCAAATATTTAAATATGATATATTTCTCTCGCATTTACGATGTTTGCATCTATCATTTTAGGTGGATGAGCTCGTGAAGTAGATATTTCATCCACTTTGTTACATCTGACACTTGAACGTTTCTTGTAATTATTTTAGCTTTGTATTTTTTTTATTTGTTTTATTTGTTGCTTTTGCTTTTTATTTGAGACGCGTAAAGAGGCAAGAACGAATCTGTATTTATCATCGGTGAATAGTCGTCATTTTCTAAAACAAGAAAATCTCTAGACAAAAACATCAATGTTTCGAGAGTTCTTTGCATTATGCAGCTTAGTTATGAATTTGTGGTATTATAAAATGACTTTTTATTCTGGATTATCAACTTCTAAATAAGTGTACAGGATTGCTTTTTTTCTTCTTTGTTTTTTTTTTGTTATTGTTTTGTTTTTTTTTTATTATACATTTGTAAATATTAAAAACTTGATTTATTATTACAATATCGATAAATTATACGAATTGTATTAAACGGCTTTCAAATTTGAATGATTTAAATACCTAAATTAAACTTATGACATAATTTCGACAAACAAATGTATTTTGATTCCCATAAAAAGATAATTGTGTAGACAAAAATCAATGCCTTCTGGCTTTTTCCATTAATGCTAATTATAACGAATGACTTGGTTGCTCTATGACAAATGAAGCTGCATGTTTGTGAAATACATGTAGCGCGAGGAAAGCGGCCAACACCGACGCCAAGCTCTTCATTATCGAAGCTAATGGTTAAACACTGTTCAAATTACTCTTGTGAAAAGTTTGTCTTAATCTTGCCGTTGAAGCATGTCAATAAATCCCTAAATAGCCTTCACGCAACGCAGCTAATAACAACGCAGCAATGACGACGGAATTCTAATGATGGTCCATAGACGTTATTAACAGAACCTTCGGCTTAATAGCGCCATACGCCAAGTACACACCTAGGAAATTTTTAAGCAGTCCGAAAATCTCGTACATGCAAGCAACGTAAATGAATATTTGCTATTTCGTTAAGTGATTTATAAAAACACTCGAAGCAACAGCGAACGCGCTTGTTATGCACATCGCTCGTTCTCACCACGGTTGCGCACCAGCTTTTAGGATGTAATACAGTCAAAACGTCGGCCAGGGGTCTTGAAGAAACGTATCGTCAATGAAGCATGTAAAGGTTAAGTCAGCGAGAAATCGTAATGAAGGCTCCATGAAATTTTGTTACGTCGCGCATACGATTAAGCATCGTATTATAACACAATTTCGTCCAGGCCTGGCTGTTGGCCAAGGCTCAAAATGCGCCATACGTCACACAATGATCGGTTTTGCCAACCCCCACTGACTTCTGGTCTTACCAAACAATTGTCCTCGCTCGATCGTCCACACGGTCAACAATAATAATTCGCCAGACGTCAGACCGGTCGCTTAGGTATAAAAGAGAGTCGAATAAATGTCGGGATCATCAGTCAGCTCGTGAAGCACATCAGTGATACAACTAGGTACAACATAACCAACCAAAACCAATCTCAACATGAAATTCTTCACCGTGAGTATTCGTCGAATATTACATTTTCGTTTCGCTATTGACTATAATTTTTATATTGGAATCGTTGGGCAAAATGATCAATAGATATTTGCCAATATCGTACAAATTTATCGGTGTAGCAACAATTATAGACTTTTCGGCAGCAATTATCGTCTCTAATTATTTAACATTTTCAACGTTTGTTCATCGAATTCAAAACTCATATCAGTTTATATTATTCACGAACACGTTAATTCTTTAATATTTAAAGTAACTCGTCGTTTTTAATTTATCTTTAACAATTAATCCTTAATCTTCCATTGAGATGTGCACCATGCAATTAGAGATAATCAATAATGAAGGAACAGCAAATTTTCAACGAAATATCTACTCTCCTTCAATGCACATCAAATCTACTAAAAAATTATCTTGTACACCGACTTAATACACTCGGCGCTTTCGATTTTTCTGATAATATATTCAAACAACTCCCAACATGACTTTCAACTCGATCCAGCCAACCAAAATCTTCGCACATTTACATTTGCTTTCACACGCGCGCGCGCAATAATGTAATATTTAAATTCATCGATTCGAGCTTCTATTCTTCACATTTTCCTAGTAACTGGATTCTACTGATCGGCAACTATTACAATTCAGAGGCAAAATTAAAAAATTTAATCCCTAAAAGACTTACAATTATCATATTCTTCGTACCTATTCGTAGCCAATCCAATTAACAAAATAATGGAAAACTGTGTATGAAAAGCATTTGATCCTCATCCGCAAACTAAACACATCATAAAGCAATGCATCTGACGAGCCAAACACTCGGAATCACAGCCTCCAGCTAACCACAACATAAAAAACTACAAACAAAAAACGCGCAAATAATTACAAGATACTAAGACCTGAAATACGACCATTCGCTCGCTTTAAATCCCATATTCCATTCTACACAAGAGTACCCATCGGATATAGGATAAACCCGTTCCTTTCAAAGGTCAAGCGCCCGCGCGGCGATCTCGAAATGCTCCAGGAGGCAGAGCACGAAGTTGAACAAAACGATTACTTTCAGGCAATGTTACTGGTTGCTCTGGTGGCCGCTGCTAATGCCGCTGTAGAGCATCCACGCAAGCTCGAGCCCGCGAAGGGACTCGAGCCGTCGGTGCCCGAAGCCGAGGACCAGGCCGCCAGGGGCAGGCGAAGCCTCATCCACAGCGCCTACTCGGCTCCATTGACCGCCGCTGCCGTCGAGGTCGCAGCTCCCGTCGCCTACACCTACAGCGCCAGTGTACCTTACGCCTACTCGGCCTACCGCGCCTATGCCCCTTACTACTCCTACCCGGTCGTCTACGTCTGAGGGCGAGGAGTGCGGATGGGTTGCTTAAATTTTAAACACTCGTTACAATTTGGCTTATCTAATTACAAGGCCGGCCACCTACCTTACGCATGTTTAACTATATGATAATTTGAGAAATAAATTTTATTCGAGACATCTAAGAGACAGTTGCCGCTTATTTACAAACCTCGAGCACCCGACACTTCGTTCCCCGCATCCACTTTGTAAATTTATCGGCGCCGAGCCTTTGACTGCTGATGTTTGCCGACAGTAGAGCGAAAGGAAGCTGCGGTAAGATAAACTTTGTCAACTAGGCCAACTTGATTGGCCGACGGTTGATTAAGCCGAAGATTAGTATGGGAATCAATGGTTTATTATTGGGGCGAAACGGTAAGTCAATGGTGCTGGTCGTATGGAAAGAGACGTCGATAAAATTGGATGACTGTCGAAGAAATGGCGTTTTGCAAAGCTTCGATAAGCGAGTTGGCGAAAATGTTGGCATCCCGAATGGTGAATCAATCGCTTTGGATAATAACAAATTAAGGAGGAATTGCAGGCCCTTTCGTTTAGGCCGAGCGTAATTGAAAGATTCGATCGATTCGTAGATTTTAAATCACGAGAAATTATAATCACTGATAATAAGTTGGTTCATTAACAATTTTGAATGTTGAGGAACGAGCTTGGAAAGAAACATATCCGCGATCATAAATACAAAATAATTTCTTTTAGTCGTCGACGACTTCTTAGCTTTCTCTTATGGATTTTGGATGCGAATTATGGATTTTAGATTGCGAATGAGGAGTTTCAACACATTGTAAACACATTTGTCGCGATTCTTGTTTGTGAGAATTGGTCACGCCTGCTACTTATGTCCTCAAGTTTCCAAACATTCCATTACTTTCGATTAAAGTTTTAATTACTTATATAATGATTATTTACGAGGATAGATTGATTTACTATTTAAAACCATCGAAAAATATATTTTCAATAACTATAAATTATATTCTAGGAAGACGCAAATGGTCCGATCATAAAATTTTGTGTATTTAATTTTTGAATAGATGCTGAAGTTTGTAACGACATAAAAGGAACAGAAATTTAAGTGCTCGTTAAAAGTAGTTCATCATTATTAAAAAAAAAATACATATATACATATATATTCGTTATTGAACTTATTACAATAACCACAACAACAACAACAAATCATCGTCAAAAAATCCAGGCAGTCCTACTTTCAATTGATAATAAATTAGGCTGTTGCTCTTTACGAATGGTAACTGTGGCCCATGAGACGCTTTTAAAACAAGACTATGTAATGTCGGCAAAATGAAATTGTAGTTTAGAAAGTGTCAGACGCTGCATAAACTTACACATTGAGTGAAAACAGATCACCTTCACGATAAAATAGCGAGTTCCGCGAGCAATTAGAGGCTCGCGGAGTGAAGGGATGCCGAATCACTGGCATAGCTCATTCGTAGGTTGAACGCTCGCGCCATTGTTTTCTCGCTATTTGCAAAAAAAAATATCTCAACGAGTGTGATAACGAAAGTGCCCAGGAGAGACGCTATTAAATCCTGATTTACGAGACCCATATCCGTCGGGCCAATAGTACATGCTCTTATTTTTACACTTCGTGCTCATCTATACGCATTTTTCGTTCTTCCCTTCTTACTTTAACATCGTTCCCTTTCCACTCGTGCTCGCATACTGTTTCCTTTTGTGTAACGAAAAAAAATGCTCATTTATTCCTCTACAAGTGTTGATAATTACTTCAAAGTGCCATCATTTTTAATTCAAAGAAATATTTAGGATTTTTTAATCAAACTTTTCATTTGGATTTTTTGCAAATAACCGCAACACATAATTCGTAAGTTCTTGCTGTTAAATTTATGGAATTTTTCATATTTTTTTATACTATTTACAAATTCTAGGAATAATTGCAAATCATACATTGAATAAATAATAACTTTATTCTATTAATACAATAGATATTCAATTTTAAGCATTGTAAAAAATAAATCGATATGTTACTAGAGACCTTTTATTCTTTTTTATATCCTATACAAATAATAATTAAACGTTAATAGGAATATTAAATTTTTATTTCTGTCCGATTTTAATCAATCGATTTGATTTTTCAGCATTAGAAAATGAAAAATAAATCATTATATAATTGTGTTCTATTATCTTAAATTGACATTAAAAACTATAATGTCTATCCATAATCTTTCGAAATTAAGGTTTTCTACGTCGTAGTACTCATTAATTTAAAGATTTTTCATAATAATTTAAAGACATTAAATCTGTTTTTTTAGATGAATTATTATAATCGAATTTTCCTTAAACTATCTTATTCAATATGGTTATTCATAATTTGAATAAATTGTAATTTTAGTTCTTGAATAATCAAATTTAATCAATTAAGTGGATAAGTTCGAAAAGTCTTATTAGAAATCACAATTTCTAATTTAAGTTTAATTTCTAGCTGTCGCGAGGGTTTTTTCACTTTTCCAGCTCTCTCTCTATCTCTCTCTCTCTCTCCCTCTCTCTCAAAAAAAAAAAAAAAAAAAAAAAAAAAAAAAAAATATAATAAACGGAATATTACTTGAGGCATTAAATCGATATGATCGACTGTGAACAAACGTTCACAGTCAATAAATCCTAATACCATCAAATCCATGACAGTGTACCTACATACTCTACTCGCTCAATAACGATTGCATGATGTACTTTATTAATGCTACTTAAGTCCACGATAGAATCCCGTTCGCTTAGTGAAAAAATTAGTTCAGCCTTCTATTGCTGTGCGACTACGTCAGTGGAGCATGAATTTCTGCATACATCTTACAAGTCGTCAGTTCATTTTGACGAACGGCACTTGCTCATTAAAGAGAAATAAGTCAAACTAATGTGTCCATGCAAGGGAAATGTATTTTTTCCTTTTACCCTGAGGCATGTGACTTATTTTCCTTTTCTCTTCGTAATCCGAGTGTTCTCAATTATGGCATAATTAAGATTAATAAAGTGATTAGTATGCATACGGACGAGCATGTGTTAGCGAGTCTTTGTTTTTTGTAGAAGTTAGATAAAAAGACTGAATTATTTTCTTAGTACATATCCACGTTATAGTAAAGTATGAATTACATTATAAAAAGAGGCTCTTACTGTCTCTGCATGTATTGTGCAATTTCATGCACATATGTATAAGCACATGTGCAAGTCTTCTTTTTCTTTTTTTTTTTTTTTTTTTTTTTTTTTTTTTTTGTGTTATACGATAGTATTGATAACTAAACACTGTTTCGTGGCCTAATGATATTATATACTGTTTGGACAATTGTAATTACCGAGTTGAATCAATGAGATATTGGTAAAAATTATTGAGAATATTAATTGAGAATAATATAATTGCTTTTATTATTATTTACGATGAAATTATATGTATATAATCATCGCTCGTATGTAGAGTCTATAATTATTCTTAAAGATAAAAAAAACTTGAATTTTGAAAAATATTTATTGAAATTAATATAAATACGCATTGATATATCTTAAATCATTAAAATAAATAAATACATTCTTCTAAAATTTCTTTTGAAATTATAATTAATGTTATTTTAACTTAACCTATATTCTTGTATGTAAATGTAAGTGCTTACATGTAAGTTCAAATTACCTGATTTTCTTTTATTATAACAATTTTGAAGTTCAATGTTTTTTGACTTATTAAAAAATATTATTCTATATACATAGATGACGTGTACGGTAAATGTTGCTTTGGATAATAACAATCAATATGAGATGAAAAATTATGATACCAAAGCGTTTTGATTAATGGTTTTACCATAATTCAGCTGAAAATCATTTATTTATATTAAACAGAGATTTCTACTTTCGTGTCTTCAGGCGATAAGAATGGAGCTTGAATATTTGCGAAATACTCAATTAGTACATTCGATCGTTTTAGGATAAGAAAAATTACGTCAAACATTTTTAAGTTTTATGACTTGTAAGTAACATTTATAAGTTCTATGATTTATATGTCTCGATTGCAGGAGAATTACAATCATGGCTTTATATTTTCAGCCTTATAAAGTATGCGTAAGCCCATTGTATTGTTATGCATAGATTCTAATTGAACGCTAAATATTTAATATATTATTTGATTTACATTACAGATTTACGTTCATAATGCTAATATATAACAGATACTTATAAACTTAGGCATAACAATATTGCAGTTAAAATTTATACTATTCTCAGTATAAACACACACACATGTTTCAGAGCCTAGAGCAAAACGTACATTTGTATCAAATCCATACCCGCAAGGTATTTAAGACACGTACATGTATTAATGTTATCTTGCATTTCAGTTTTTATAACACCGATGGATATTATAAAAGGGCAAACGTTTAATGAGCAAAGTTATCGTAAATATGAGATTAATCATTTTAGCACCAAATACTAAATGGAAGATAATCTTTTTCTCCAATTTCAAAAACGCGTGTCATTAATTCCTATAACATCGAATACTTATAATCATTTTATAGTTTACGTTCTTAACATAATAATCAACTTAAAAAAACAAAATGAAAAAAAAAACAGAGACAAACAAACACCAAACGTAAATAAATTAGTTTAATAACATTTTATGATAATTCATATTGATTACAAAAATAAATAAAGTCCAAGTTATGCGCAAAGAAAGTAAATGTCAAATTCATTGTAATTTATAAGCTAATGAAAAATTCTAGCAATACACGAGAGGATAGTGATCCAAGCAACTAGAATAATGAGAAATATCGATGAGAGATATACGATGAAAAAAAACATTCAACAATCATTGATGCTTGTAAGAGAATTTTACATCGTAAATAGGTCATAACAATAATTATTAAATCATTACTAAAGTCAAATTTCCCTCAGAAATTCATGAATTCCAACATGTTTACACCTGTACAAACATCTGTACACGATTTTTCATGCGCCAAATCTACTCGAAAAATACATCTCTCCTTCGTTTACTATCTAATTAAACCAAAACATTCTTTATAATTTTTCCATTAACGCCTCGGCAACAACAAATCTAGTCCGTATATAAAAATTAAAAAAAAAACACGATTCCATATAAAATGTATCTTAATCACGTGTTCACTAGAACAT